CCACAATAAATCCCAAGTTTTAGAACTCAGGCTTTGCTAAGCCTTCCCTCAAGGCCAGAATTCCCTCTGGGAATGAGTGAGGCGGGAATCAGAGAGCCAGGCCTGGACTCACATCCACGACATCAATAAGAATCAAATTTTGACCTTAACCCCACCCTGGAAGTGCCAAAAAAAAAAGGAGCAAACCCTTGGTGAGGTGGCTGAGTGAGCTTGGAGATCATTCCCAACCTTTGTGGAAACGCCAAACCAACACTTCCAACCTTATTCCCACTTGGAAAAAAGGCCTAAAAGGTTCTTTCCCCCAGAGCGGCTCAACCTCACAGGTGGAGTCCGCCCAGAAAAGGAGCAGCCCCTTCATGAGGGACCTGGAGATATTTGGGTTGACCTCAAAGATCTTTCCCAACCTTCACAGCAACTCCAAACCAGCACTTCCAACCTTATTCCCGCTTGGAAAAAAGGCCTAAAAGGTTCTTTCCCCCAGAGCCACTCTCCCTCAGCAGTGGAGTCTGCCCAGAAAAGGAGCAGACCCTTCATGAGGGACCTGGAGATGTTTGGGTTGACCTTGGAGATCATTCCCAACCTTCATGGAAGCTCCAAGCACTTCCAACCTTATTCCCACTTGGAAAAAAGGCCTAAAAGGTTCTTTCCCCCAGAGCCACTCTCGCTCACAGGTGGAGTCTGCCTAGAAAAGGAGCAGCCCCTTCATGAGGGACCTGGAGAAGTTGAGGTTGACCTTGGAGATCTTTCCCAACCTTCATGGAAGCTCCAAGCACTTCCAACCCTATTCCTGCTTGGAAAAGGTGCCCAGAAGATTCCTTCCCAGAGCCACTTGCCCTCATAGGTGGTCCCCATGAGCCCACTCAGAAAAGGAGCAGCTCCTTCAAAAGTGACCTGGAGAAATTTGGGTTGACCTTGGAGACCTTTCCCAACCTTCATGGAAGCTCCAAACACTTCCAACCTCATTCCCACTTGGAAAAGGTGCCCAGAAGGTTCCTTCCCAGAGCCACTTGCCCTCATAGGTGGTCCCCATGAGCCCACTCAGAAAAGGAGCAGCTCCTTCAAAAGTGACCTGGAGAAGTTTGGGTTGACCTTGGAGACCTTTCCCAACCTTCATGGAAACTCCAAGCACTTCCAACCTTATTCCCACTTGGAAAAGGTGCCCAGAGGGTTCCTTCCCAGAGCCACTCACCCTCATGGGTGGTTACTCTGAGCATGCCCAGAAAGGAGCAGCCCCTTCAAGAGCGACCTGGAGAAGTTTAGGTTGACCTTGAAGATCATTCCCAACCTTCACAGGAACACCAAACAACCACTTCCAACCCTATTCCCGCTTGGAAAAGGTGCCCAGAAGGTTCCTTACTTGCCGTGGGGCTTCCCCCAGAGCCACTCTCCCTCATAGGTGGCCCCCTGGGGCCTGCCAAGAAAACTGTGGGCAGGCTTCATGATGTGGTCAAGTGACCTGGAGATATTTGGGCTGACCTTGGAGATCTTTCCCAACCTTCACAGGAACACCAACCGACCACTTCCAACCTTATTCCCACTCGGAAAAGGTGCCCAGAGGGTTTCTTCTCAGAGCCACTCACCCTCATGGGTGGTTACTCTGAGCATGCCCAGAAAGGAGCCGCCCCTTCAAGAGCGACCTGGAGAAGTTTGGGCTGACCTTGGAGATCATTCCCAACCTTCACAGGAACACCAACCGACCACTTCCAACCCTATTCCCACTTGGAAAAGGTGCCCAGAGGGTTCCTTCCCAGAGCCACTTGCCCTCATAGGTGGTCCCCATGAGCCCACTCAGAAAAGGAGCAGCCCCTTCAAGAGTGACCTGGAGATCTCTCCTAACCTACACAGAAACACCAAACCAACACTTCCAACCTTATTCCCACTTGGAAAAGGTGCCCAGAAGGTTCCTTACTTGCCGTGGGGCTTCCCCCAGAGCCACTCTCCCTCATAGGTGGCCCCCTGGGACCTGCCAAGAAAACTGTGGGCAGGCTTCATGATGTGGTCAAGTGACCTGGAGAAGTTTGGGTTGACCTTGGAGATCATTCCCAACCTTCACAGAAACACCAACCGACCACTTCCAACCTTATTCCCACTTGGAAAAGGTGTCCAGAAGGTTCCTTCCCAGAGCCACTCACCCTCATGGGTGGTTACTCTGAGCATGCCCAGAAAGGGGCAGCCCCTTCATGAGTGACCTGGAGAAGTTTGGGTTGACCTTGGAGATCATTCCCAACTTTCACAGCAACTCCAAACCAGCACTTCCAACCCTATTCCCACTTGGAAAAGAGGCCCAAAAGGTGCTTCCCACCTTATTCCCACTTGGAAAAGAGGCCCAGAAGGTTCCTTCCCAGAGCCATTCGCTCTTGTAGATGGCCACCATGAGCCTGCCCAGAAAAGGAGCATCCCCTTCATGAGCGACCTGGAGATCTCTCCCAACCTTCACAGAAACTCCAAACCAGCACTTCCAACCCTATTCCCACTTGGAAAAGGAGCCCAGAAGGTTCCTTACTTGCCATGGGGCTTCCCCCAGAGCCACTCTCCCTCGTAGGTGGCCCCGTAGAACCTGCCAAGAAAGGAGCAGCTCCTTCAAAAGTGACCTGGAGAAGTTGAGGTTGACCTTGGAGATCTTTCCCAACCTTCACAGAAACACCAAACCAACACTTCCAACTCTATTCCCACTTGGAAAAGAGGCCCAAAAGGTGCTTCCCACCCTATTCCCACTTGGAAAAGGTGCCCAGAAGGTTCCTTCCCAGAGCCACTTGCCCTCATAGGTGGTCCCCATGAGCCCACTAAGAAAAGGAGCCGCCCCTTCATGTTCAGGAGAAGTTTGGGTTGACCTTGGAGATCATTCCCAACTTTCATGGAAGCTCCAAGCACTTCCAACCTTATTCCCACTTGGAAAAGGGGCCCAGAGGGTTCCTTCCCAGAGCCACTCACCCTCATGGGTGGTTACTCTGAGCATGCCCAGAAAAGGAGCAGCCCCTTCATGAGTGACCTGGAGAAGTTTGGGCTGATCTTGAAGATCTTTTCCAACCTTCATGGAAACTCCAAGCACTTCCAACCTTACTCCCACTTGGAAAAGAGGCCCAAAAGGTGCTCCCCACCTTATTCCCACTTGGAAAAGGTGCCCAGAGGGTTCCTTACTTGCCGTGGGGCTTCCCCCAGAGCCACTCTCCCTCGTAGGTGGCCCCGCGGAGCCGCCCCTCCGTGCGGAAGCCGTAGCTGAAGA